CGCCCTGGGACCAGGACCAGAGCAGGAGCCCAGCAGGCAGCGCCCCACAGGGACGGCGGGGGGGGGGGGGGGGGGGGGAGGGGTAGGGAGTAACCCAGGGAAGACCCTGTCTCCCAACCACAGGGTTAAAAGGAGGAGATTGATCTGTTTGCTCTGCAAGAGACCTGTTGTGGCAGAGCCATGCAGGGTCCCGGGCAAGCTCCGGCGTAGCCCTTGGGGGGCAGGGCTGGCACAGGGGAGGACGGCTAGGGAGGCTAGCTGGGGGGGTGGGTGGAAGGCAGGATAAGGGAGGTGACGAGCTCTGCAGCCTGAAATCGCCCTGTTTGTGCCAAGGAAAGGGGGCAGGGGGCGAACAGACAGAAGGGTTGAGCCAGCTCCAGGAGGCATTTCCTACGGACCAACACCGGGCAGGACAAGTTGGGGTGTAAAGATGAGGTCAAGGGGGGTCCAAAGGTGGGGAGTGGAGGGTTCCAGGCCCATGGCCAGGTGGAGGAGGGGCTCAGGGCTTGAGGGAGAGTGTCCTGGGGCCTACTCCCAGGGGCAGGAGGGCCCCCGTGACCCGGGGGGGGGCGCTGCAGTCGGGGGAGACGGGGGGCCTGAGGAAGGGGAGGGGCAGGTGGTGGAGGGGGGCTGGGGGGAAGTGGGGCCCCCCTGCTCTCACCAGGGATGTGCAGGTTTCCGAAGCTGTACCCGGCCGTGCCGGCGATGACATGGGCCCCACGCCCCGTGCACTGCACGTCCCGGATCCGCCCGCCTGTTCCCGTTGTGGCGCCGCTGAATGGGGCCACCCCTGAGGAGGAGACGGGGTGAGAGCGAGCGGACACCCCTCCTAGGTACCCCCTAAAACACACACCCCAGAGTGCCATGCGCATGGGGGAGCAGGAAAAGCATGTGGCATCCACCCCTCCACAGCCCATAACCCCATGCACTACCATCCCCCACACATCCACCCGACAGCCACACTACCTCCCCCACAGACCCCTGCCTCACGGACATCCCCTCACATTCACTCTCCCCCCCCGGATTTCCCCCAATGTCCCCCCTGCAGACTGCCACACAGCCCCTTGGCCACACCCCCATCCCACCCCATGGATAGAACCCCCCCGTACATAGATATTCCCCTGCACACACAGCCCCCTACCCCTGCACTGACCCGTGGGGAAGTTGTGGGTCTCTGCAGTGAAGATGACATGCCGTGTCGACGTTCTCTTCTCCAAGCGGCTGGGGCGGGATGGGTCGCGGGGCCACAGGGAACACACGGCCCTGCCCCGGATGGCACTGGGGGGAGAGAACCGGCCACGGCCATCAGCCACGGAGCCCCACAGCCATCCCTGCCCCCTGGGGGTGGGGGGAGAGCATCCCAGCCACGGCCCCCAGCCACAGAGCCCCACCCCATCCCTAGCCCAGAGGAAGTGAGAGTTTGAATCCAACCCCGGCCATCAGCTCGAGCCCCATTCCCAGCCCCACGGATGGGGGTCCCAGGCAGGCACCTGCTGTTGTCCGAGAACTTGATGACGTTGTTGGGGTTGCTGCTCTCCTGGGTGCGCATGATGGACTGGAACAGCGACTCCCCGATTTCCTTCCCATCCACCAGGAGGCGCCCTTTGAAGAACCAGTGTCGGCTGTGCTCGCT